AGATGTCACAAGTTCACTGCAGAGTGGAGTGGAGAGGGGAGGCTAGTGTATGGCTAGCTGACTTTCATCAGTCATGCTTGAGACATTACTAAACTGTTCCGACGACCTTTCACAGGAACCGAGTGCATTGCTTGCCACGGAAAGGATTTACTGGCACCAAATGCTCCGGATTCAATTCGTCTCAGCGGGAAGGTGTTTACAAGCTCCGCAATCGGAGGAGCAGACGAACCATAGGTGGCCATCAGAGATCGCTTTCAACTCTTGGGGACTTCGAAACAATTTCATTGCTCAATTTTGGTATGTCTCAAATCTGCCCTTCGCTAAGCAGAGTGGATACCCCTCTTTTTCGATGGATATGGGAAACACTTCACATACTGTGAATGCGAGCGCGAGCACAAATTCCCTAACCATCAAAAGCATTTTCCCATCTTGATGCAGAGGCGTAGGGAAATGTACTAATAAACATTTTGGTACTAGGAAGAGTCATACCAAGTCCGGATTTTCAAATCTGTTTCACTACCAGTAGAATGGAAAGAAACAAAAATCGCAACCTGAGAAATGGTTGAAAATAAACTCAGCACATTCAGATACATGTGAACCTGATCAATGAATCATGTTGACCAATAACAAGGATAGCTATATATTTATGTATTCTCTATCACCGTTGCAGTAAACCAGTCCAACCGCTATTATACAACTGCCTGCATGAGCACTATTGGAAGCAAAACATATACTTCACATGAAATATACCGCCCGAGGTAAATGGCTCAAACAAGTATGGCACTAATTTCGAAGAACTCGTAAAAGCCGAAGTGGCATGACATTGTACAATAATGAGGTCTCTGTCAACTCAAACATCTAAAAAAATTGAGCAACATGGATGGCTGAAAACGAGCTTGATTGCACGTTCCTAATCCTAGAAATCACTGAATAAAACATCTGAAGAAGAAAACATCGCTCAGATCAATTAACGCTTTTGGGAACTTCTAACAAAGACATGTTTCAGAGTGAGCAATAAATTATGAGGTTAAATTACAATGTTAGAAACTAACAAACTTAAAAAAATCGAACGAAAGTAAAAACCACAACTGACGAAGAAATGCTAGAACTATGTCAAAATTAATTAATACAAGACACGCAATTATAGAAGTAGGGCACTGGCACTAAACACCGGAATCGCTTACCCAGTTACACTCGCCGTTAATCTTACATTCGAGAAATTATCAGACAGGGTCCCAGATATGGTGCGCCTCTCGCATGTGGGAGATAATGAACGAACACTGAAGATCCCCTCCCCTTACGCAGTTACTGGTTTTATAATCCGCGAGGATCAACTCGCATTCTCAAAAGGTGACTTTCCTCTTTGAATTGATCTGGACTACTCGCCCGATCTAGCATACATAAAAAAAACTTTTGGGTGCAAATTTAACAACGAGTGTCGGTTGCTAACTAAATAAACTGAACAATAAACATATATTTTGGTTGCGAAAATGGCGAAAGTAAACAAAACGAAAACGTGAAACATGAAATGCTACTAATACTCAAGTACGGAACTATGTTAAGGGAAGACTCTCAGAAGTGGAACTACCATCTGACACTTCGGCAGAAATTCGATGAAGGACATACCAGTCGTGTACGTACATCAGAATGGCGAGCGGTTGGCCAACAATTAGAGACAGCCAAACAATTACGTTTCCTATGAGTAACTTTGGATTATATAATCAAAGGCAAACCAAATATAGAAAGACAATTTTGATGCATTTTACATGGCATGGTGAAAATTTTGCTCCGATCTTGAGATTATCATGCGTCGATTCAAATGGGAAGACATGGGAGTGAATCTAATCATTTGATGGCAAGTAACTATAGCAGGGTTTGCAGCAAAGCCTCACAAAGAGGACCTTTTATAACAAAGGGTCTGTTTCCTGATGTCGCATTCACGCTCAACGGAACGTCTCCGGATACTCCGCTACTTGTAGCTGAGTCCGAGAAACAACATGATGAACGGCTCACTATCACCTTAGAGCTGAGCCGGTAGGAAACAAGGGGAGCGTTTAAGAAGCTCGATAGAATACAGAAAAATACGGAGGATATCAAGAACTTGCTTCTTTGAAGCTTCCCGAGACTTGAAGCAGAATGAACCAGCGTTAGCTAAAGCAATACCTATGGGACTGCAGAGGATAATCCGAAGTTTCGAACCCTGTTAAGGACCAGGAACGCTACTGTTTCCTCCAAGGAATCGGATTTAGATGAATGAAGGGATCCTGCGATTTTATAATGACCGATGGACCAAAACGGTCATTCACTGCATATCTCATGACGTCAAACGGAACCAGTACGACCGCTGGCTCAGTAGTTAAACTTTCTAACACACAAAAGAAATAAGATGGTACATGTGCCTCGAGCGAAGACCCCACTGGTAATTCAATGAACGATGAATCGAAAGGGGGTGAATCTGATTTAAGACACCACACATGAATTCATAATAGATAAGACCGTACAATAATAATGTCTACAATAATAGTTTAGCAATTTTTGAAAAAAAAGCATGTACCTGCTCGACCACCCTTGACAACATAGTCAGTTATCAATGACAGAGGGATTTGCGCCATCATTCCGTAGTAGGCCCATAGACGGAACATGTGCAGAGGCACGGAAACCTCAAATGAAGAACTAACACAATAGCAAAAAAGCAAAATAAAAGCCAGTCCCAACTTACAAGATACTCATGGAAGAAAGCAGATACGAAGAATACTACAATCATGGCACTGAACTTGCTGGAAAATAGCACATCAAGCATACTCGCAATCAATCATGAACAAGACGACAAGATTGAAGAGCTTTATGATCTTTATGAAGTAATCAACTAACTTGTACTTATTTCGCATCATAGGAAAGTAGATGTGACGTGCAGCCCAACGATGAACAGGTATATTCCAGGTTCGCCAAAAGTACTGGATGGTCTCCGAATTCCAGAAATCACTAGAAAATGGTAATCGAAGACATCTGTGAGCTATCTGTGAGTTAATAAGCTTCATCAAATTATTTCTACACAATGAAAACGAGGAGCTACGCAAAAGTGCCACGCCACTTTAGGAAACCAAATCTCATTGTATTCGGTTGCCAAATGCTTAGCTGGTTAGTTAATTAGTTATTGACTTACTAACCAATCCAGGGATTTCAGATCAAAAAAGTATTGAGCACTGGAACATTGTCAAGCGCAAGAATAACTTTCAGGAATTTTCTAGGTTTGCAATCAGCCTTTGATTATCATGGCACTGGTGATGATGCAGTTAGGTCGCGTCTTCTTTAGTTGAGAAACGCATAACCTTCCTAAGCAATAGCAAATGAGGGGAGAATATTTCGACATTTTTTTCACGGGTAGCACCATAGAACTTTGGCATGAATGTATACTTGATGACAAGGTAGTCAAAAACGATTAAGAAAAAATCCCAGAAGGTACGGCTTGAAAGATAGTCGAAAACGCTTTCCAGTTGAGCTGACACTTACAGTGAATGAATCAACAGCTTAAATTGAGTGTGTCCGATAGATGGTTGAAAAAGAATTGAACATCCGGTGTCAGCGAATTTTTGTATGGGATGCTGCATTCTACTTCTATTCAAAAATGTAGTGGCACCTTGAGGGAGGAAAGCAGCTGATCTCAAGTCAATGTTTGCATCCTACCAAACAAGTTCGGTACCAATTAACAAACCTAGTGAAACTGAAA